ATATAGCTGGCTGGTTTGTGACTGTTGGCTGCTGCTCCTTTGGTGGTGATGGAACGGTGACTTGCTGCGGTGGATTGTCTTCATTTGATGGCTAAACTTCATCTCCACTTGGTTGAGTAGCTGCTGGTGGCACTGGCGTGGCACGGTTGGACTCGTTGACGACGGCTTGAGGGAGATCGATGATCGGTCCGCTATGGTCAGAATCGGTGTCATCTTCTTCCTCCTCTTGTGTTGTTTCCTCATGTGCGCTTGCTGGTTCCTGTTGGATAGAGGGTAGAGAGGAGGAAGAGGAAAACTTATGCCAACCTGCAAGGGACATGTCTTCATAGAAGACAACATCCCTTGAAACCACTTCTCGCTTGGTGACAGGATCCCAAAGGACCCATCCCTTGCTCTCATTGCTCATGCCGATGAAGAGGCCCCAATGAGCTTTGCTGTCCAGCTTGAGTCTCTTTGCATCTGGAACACGGTATTGGGCCATGGAACCAAAAACACGAAGCATAGACAAATCTGGTTTAACTCCAAACCAAGCCTCATATGGCGTTACACCTTCCGGTAAGGGCCTTGTGGGTCTCCTGTTGCGAACATAAATTGCCATAGTGATTGCCTCACCCCACCAGAGCTTGTCAAGGCCTTTGAACTGAAGGAAAGTGGTAGCTATAGCCTGGATAGTGCGATGAAACCTCTCTGCCACTCCATTTTGCTGAGGACTATAGGGACAAGTGAACTGTTGTTTGATGCCCAATGCCAACAACTCCCCCTGAAACGCTTTCCCCATGTACTCACCTCCTCGATCCGACCTCAAGGTGAGTAACTTCTTCCCTGACTCTCTCTCAACAAGTGCTAGTCATTGCTTGAAACACTTGTGAACTTCATCCTTGGTGTTGATGAAAAAGGACCGCGAGAAACGACTCTTGTCATCAATGAAAGACACCAAATATTCCTTACCGTTTCGAGTAGGGTCTCGCATGGGGCCGAAGACATCAGTGTGGACCAACTCTAGGAGGTCCCTTGACTGAGACTTAGAAGGGAAGAATGGCTTTCTAGCTAGTTTACCTTCCACACAAGATGGACATGGAACGGAAGAAAGGGACTTGACTGCACTTTCATTCAAACTCAATCCTTCCACGCTCTTGTGATTTACCAACTCTTTCAATGCTTGCACTCCCACGTGCCCCAAGCGTGCATGCCATACCTCAACTTGGGAGATACTCCCTTTGTTGTTGACTTGATCGGTTGAAACAGCGGGAAGCGAGACAACGTCGTTCTTCGTGTTGCTAGCACCGCGCTTAGTCTCCAACTTCATCTTGTAGAGCCGCCCGCTACGCTCGCCTTCAGCCACCAGATTTCCTGCACTGTCCCACACTTTGGCTTCCCCCCCTTGCAAGAGAACGGAGGCACCTTTCTCTTCGAGTTGTCCGGCTGAGAGCAAGTTTGCTCCCAAATCAGGAACAAACAAAGCTTTATTGACACAAAATGACTTACCATCCTTTTCGAACTCAAGCTTGCCGACTCCTTTGATTGGTACTTTGCCAAGATCAGCAAGAGTCACAGCTTTTGAGTCATATGAGGGCTGAAAATCCTTGAAAATGGACTGATAGGGAGTCATGGTTTCAGAGCAGCCACTATCAAGAATAAACTCCTCACTACTAGTAGAGAAAACGTGCATGCAAGTAGCAGCGTTAAAAAGGACAGGACCATCGGACTCTTTGGACTCATCTTGACTTGTAGAATGACTTGCTATATTTGCTATGGCTGCCTTACCTTTTTCAGATAGTAGCTGAGGTGGGGGGACCCAATTAGGAGGCTTCTTAGGACAAGCATACCACGGGTGACCCCACTCATGACAACAAAAACACTCAAAATTAAACTTTTTAGCATTCGGGGCTTGGCTGAAATTATTGACTCTTGGCATATTGACTCTTGCATTCCTAGGCTGGTATTGATTGGGAATCGAAGGCCTTGGCTGGACATAGTGACTGGACTTATAGGGAGGACTTGACTGAGGAAAACGAGAGGGTTTGTATGGGTTGGAAGGTGACTGAAATTTCGTACCGTAGTAGGGTTGAGGGCGGTTTGGGCTGAAATTTCCTTGCCTCTGGAATTGGTTGCCATATCTTGTGGCTGCTGCAGCACTCCACGCACCTTCGTCACTCCGCTTGTTCCGTGCAAGGTCTCGACTCTGCTGCTCGTTGACAAGGGCCTCAAAGATGAACGCACGACTCTTCATTGACTGCGGGAGCGCTTGTAGTGTTGCACGGAAAGTGTCCCACTCCGGTGTAAGGCCGGTGAGGATGACGGTCTTGAAAAGAGACTCTGGAATCTCCAAGCCGATCGCTGCTGCTTCCTCCAGCATTGCTTCAGCTCGTTGTAGGTAGGCTTGTGCTGATTCATCTTCTTCCATCTTCAGATTCATGAAGCGGCTCCACATCTCGGCTTGGCTGCTCTCGGATTTTGACTGGTGCATAGTCTTCAGTCGGCTCCATGCTTCCTCTGCACTGTTTGCCTTGGTAGAACAGGGCAGGAGCGACTTCAACTGCTGCTCGTGAATGCTATTGAGTAGGTAGAGGAAGGCCTCCTTGTTGCGTCGTTCGTAAAGTCGTTTTTCAGCTTCTGAAGCATCTGCTGCTGGTTTGGCTGCTTCTCCAGTGTAGTAAGGCCACAGATCCAGAAGGGATGCAGTGAGCTCAAACTGAGTTGCCCATGTTGGAAAATCTTTGCTGTTGAACTTGGGGAGGTGAAGCTTAGGCATGAAGGAGGTGAGTGGTGAGTATGTTTTTGAAGGACTGCCTGGTGCAACTGCTTCCACTAATCCAGTAGCTGCTGATGTTGACTCTGAAGCTCCTCCGGCTGGCTGGAGTGCAGGACCAGATGGATTGTCTCCCGCCATGTTCGTATGGTGCTAGGATAGGAACGTGGTGGGCTAGGTTGATCGAAACGACAAGCTCTGATACCAACTTGTAAAACAGAGTAGCTGTGACTACTGGAGGGCTGGAAACTTGGCTGGAAAGTCTTAGCAGGGCTGCTGGAATTGACTGGATGAGGTAAAACTTCACTATGTTCAAGATTAACAAGCCCACTAAAGCACAACTCTAGGCATCACAAACAAGACAGATTGAAAGCTCAAACTAGGCTGATAGACAATGTAACTTCCCTGGTAACTTGGGCACAATCTATATTGGATGGACCTTGAGTGACTTTGAGTGCCACATGAGGTGCATGAATAAGAAAACTCTGGATATTTCTGTTATAGCTGATTCTGATGTGTAGAAACCTGTAGAAACTGCCAACACTTCGGTTTGAAGGCAGCTTTGAACTATATCGAGTCTTCGGCTGAAATCTGATTGGTGGTGGAACTTTCGAAGTACTTCCCGAAGCTCTGATTCCCCCTTGCTGCTGCTTGTGTGCAAAGGGCTGGGGCGGCAGAAACTCGATTCTCCAACAGTTTCACACACGTGGCAGCCTCTACCCAACCAACCATTGAGCCCTTGTTCTGAAGGGCCGAACCGAACTTCAAGTATGAGCCGCCACCAAACCAGTGTCACCCCTATTTGATTGCATAGCAACTCATCCAACGTTGGTGGAAGCTCTGAGCTTTCGAGCTCCAAAGTTTCAGAACCACACCCTTATCCGCAGATTCTACACTGGGGGTTGAGCTGGCAAACGGCCACGTCGTTCCCTTGCCACATGCTTCGGGCTGTATGTTCACTGTGGATTGCATCTTCAACATTAAATACGGTCGGGCGACGCGAGCCGATTTTGGTCAGAAGGAACCAAACATGAAAATGTTTAAGTTTATTCCAATTCATGTTTCTTAGGCCGAGGTTATGTCGTACGTTTTCTGTGCGTTCTCAGCGGTCTATTTCACTGCGTCACGGTGTGAAACGGTAAGCATCAAGAACCACTTTTCACCGTGTGGAACCGTTCTGTTCCACAAAGCATGAACAATAAATGTACGACATGCTGTCCGGTTTATGTTTTCATCCCAGAGCCTTTGAGTGTATTTCTCTAACCACCTGGCTTTTGCACCCAGGGTCCGAGGGGCGGCACTCCAGCACGTCGTGTCGGTTGTGATTGGTTGATTTTGATGACCCAGTAAGAAGCCTGCGCCGCAGCGCGACATCGCTGTTTAGGCACAAAACTTCCAAGGGCCGAAATACTCTCCCATGAAAGGTTTTCGTGCCCGCAAAATGTCCAAATGGCCTGAAGGTCGGCTATAACCATGATTTATTTCCCACCACCCTACCTCAAACCTTATTTATTTTCGCGTTCAAAAGTGTGTGAATTTGGGGAAACTACGACCCGTAAGATGTACAAGACAGCTCGAGAAGAAACCCGATCTTGACAGGATCAGTCAATCCCGCAGCGCACTTCTTTCCGCATATTGCCCAGGGCCCTCCCTCACCCACCGAACGAGCCACCAACTCCAGCCTTGGCTGCGCCTGTGCCGCACCTTTTCACAGCCAGGATTCCGCCAGCCGCTACGCCTGCGCGCGAGTGAACTTCAACCGCAGACCAGAGCTGCGCTGGACGCCTACTTTTGCTGGTCCTGTCCTGATTTCCGACTGAGCCACCCAAGCATCGCTTTTCCGCTCCGCAGGGAGGGAGATGCGGCGGCGAAGCAATGTTGGTTGGAAGTGAACTCAAAGGGGAGGCGGCAATGTTCAACAAAACAGGCACTCAATATTGAAACCCTTGGTGATGACGGGGAAATCTCAGTACAGTACTGCCGTTTTTGAGTGATAGGGGCGTTTTCGAGTGATAGGCGCGGTTTCCAGTGTCCTTAGGCAACGTCTTCCTCCAGAGCATAACCTCACTGCCTCCACGGCAGGGCTTCTCATTGGCCTCGTACAACACCGATCAGTCACCTTTTCTAACCATCTTCTGCGTCATTCAGCGCTTCTCCTGGAGTCGACTCGTTTTCCCACACGCAATTATCATCGAAGGGGACCCGCCTCCCCGAAGAAATTATTTCTGCGAAGAAGAAGCGAGAGCACGAAATGGTGAAAACAGTTTGGAAGCGAGGAGGAAGGCAACGCATCGGGCTTGCTGAGGCTCCTCGCAACGGGGCACAACCAGCAGCGAGCTCTGCGGCCGATGTTCGTCGCGGCGCCGCCGGAAGCGCTCTGGCGGCGGCAAATGTGGCTTCGACTTTCAACCCTGGCGCGCTAGTAACGACATCGGTGGACTCGGAATGTCACCCACTGTCAGTCGCGCCCGCATTCCCAGCAGCGCTGCACCCGACGACAGCCGCGGAGGCGGCGGCGGCGTGGAATGCGGCGTCGGCGGAGGCGATGGCGGCAGCGACGTGGGATGGTGGAAGCGGTGCGTCGCAATCTGGTTCGCACGACGGCGCCGCCGGCAGCAACAGCTACTACTACGACCACGATGATGACGGCGGCGGGAGCTCCATCACGGACGGCGATTCCGACTCGCCGCATGCGTCCATGGTGTCGAATGGCTCCATGCACGACGAAGACGATGATGACGATTTGCTCCTGTCGGATGACGCGGAGGATAGTAGCGAGGCTGGTCGGGGCTGCTGTAAGTCCCATTGCATGCCGGCGACTCGTCGATCGACGTCTGCGACGATTAAACTGCGTGAAAGAGTGCGTCGCACTGCTAGTGCGGCGACCGCCACCGGAAGGCCGCCAATCGCCGAAGGTGGTCGTCGCGGGGCCTCCGCAAAGGGCGGAGACGGCGCTGCGGCGCCGATGTCGGATCGCGAGCCGCTGGTAGCCTTGGGGAAGCGGCGGAAGAGCGGTCGATCGGTGACGTTAATGCGTCGAATTATCCGCAGCGTGCGCAAAAGCGAGTACACCGTTGACTTGGAGGAAGACAATGATGGCGATGCGGCGGAACTGCGGGGTCGCGACGGCGCGGCGCGCGGAGGGAAACAGCGCCGTTTTCACTTGAGCCCCACGTGGAGGCCGCTGTTCGTCGTCGTGTGGGCGCTTGTGACTCTAGCGGTGGCAACTGGCGTGTTCGTGGCAACGTATAACACGTTCGAGCACGAGCGGCAGGTGAGGACGAGTGTGTGGGTGCGCAGTTGCTTGCGCACGTACGCTCGAATGATCGACAGTCGATGGTACCATGTTCGCCTCGCAATGCAACGTGCACGTTCCACTTAGCGCGATGTCTTAACTCCCTCCCTTTCTTGCAATGTCGCCGTATGACATTGACATGGCACGACATGACATGGCATGGGATGGCGACACGTGGCGGCAGGAGGAGGTGGAGATGGAGTGCGGGGCGTGGCGCGTGCTACTGGAGGAGCATTTCACGGACACCACCAACCAGATCCGCCTGCTCGCCAATCTCGTCTCCACCTTCCACTTCCGCAAGCCCAAGGGCACGCTCGACCGGGTGAGCCAACTCACTCACACGCACGCTCCTTTGGAGGAGCCTGTCCTTCTGTGCCTTTCTTCTTCCTCCCGCCCACCCCACACCCCCCATTTTCTCCCCTTTCCCCTCCCCCCCGTCCCCTTCGCTCCCCCCTTCGCGCTCCCTCAACCCGGGCCATCCCTCTCTCCCACCTCGCTCCCCTTTTGCCCGTTTTTCCCCTCTCTCTCCCCGCCCCCCCCTTGCAGCGCACCTTCCTGTCGTTTCTGAACGAGACGACGTACGCGTGGCCGCACATCCACCACATCTCCTTCGCCATCCGCGTGCCGCACGACGCGCGCACGCGCTTCGAGCGCAGCCGCGGCCAAGGCTTCTGCATCAGGTAGCGACCGGCCCTGACAGGCGGGGGAAGGAAAGGGGATGCGATGCGGTGGGTTGGGCTGGTTTGGGTTGAGAGAGACTGTCTTGATACAAAGATCCGTTGGGATAAATCGTGTGACGGGCCGCGATGTCTCTGTCCCACACTTGCCTTTCCTCTCTCTTGTACTTCCCTTCTCTATCTCGCACTCATTCATTCTCAACCCCTCTCTCGACCTGCCCTTCCCATCTCCCTCGCCCCGAACTCCTCTCCGCGCGTTCCACGGCACGCGCCACGGGACTCGCGGTGCGATGCAGGGACGGCGCGGCGTGCGCGCCACAGAACACCGAGTACGCGCCCATCATCTACACCACTTCCACGAAGCTCCCCGCTGGTCAAGACCTCATGTGGTGTACGTCACTCGCTCTCCGCGCTCTCCGCTCTCCCCCGCTCCCCGCTTCCCTCGCGCTTCCGCCACTGACGCGCGCTGCAGTTGTTTTACACCGCGTGCCTCTTTTTTTCTGTGCCGGCTTCGTTGAGTCGACTTAAGAGTCATCCTCCTTATATGGGAGCGGCACCGCGCAACTGGCTCGTGTCGCCTTTTCCGCTCTTGTTCCACCTCTCCTGAACCTCCTCTTGTCCCTGCTCTTACCCCTCTTTCCGCCGCCTTCTCTTGTCCCTCACGCGCGCCCCCCACGCGCAGCTGCCGACGCGACGGGTATGAGCGCGGTGGAGCACGCGCGGGACAACGGCACCATGGGCGCGCTCACGGCGCCGCTGCGCCGCGCCAACCCCGACGCGACCGCGGACGAAGCGGCTGCGGCGGCGGCGACGGAGGAGGCGGTGGAGCGCGAGAACCACTGGGTGGAAGCGTGGGGGAGCGCGGCGGACGGCACGGCGCTGCTGCGCGTGTACCCCGTGTACAGGGAGGGGCGCGCGCCGCCGGGGGAGGAGAGGGCGAACGTGACGGCTATGAGAAACGCGTGCCGCGGATACATGTCCGCGCTTGTAGATTTCACGTCGCTTGTATCGGTGCGGATCTTAGAGGGAGGAAGCGGGAAGAGGGGAGGGATAGGGAAGACTATGGAAAATCTGGAAGGGAGGAAGGGCGGGATAGGGAAGGAAGAAGTGGGATGAGCAGTCTGCTGCATTGCTGTTGCTCGTTTGCGATCTGTCTTTGAGAGTGACAATCATAGGATAATTCCAATGAAGGCGCATCTTTATTGAATTGAGTCACATTACCCTCCCTCTTCCCCCCCTTCCTCTCCCTCTCCCCTCTCCCCTCACTCCCCGCGCACTTCCCCTTCCGCCCCCGCCATGGCAGTCCATGCACAACGGCCATTCGCGCATGTTCGTGCGCATCTATGATGTCACGCGCACTCGCGGCAGCCCGGGCGCTGCCGACCCGCGCCACTACCAGCGCACCACCAACACCAGCAGCGGGCGCATCGCCACGGTCGACACCAGCAGCGCCAGCAGCAGCAGCAGCAGCAGCAGCAGCGGTGGCAGCGGTGGCTCGTTCAGCCCCAGCAGCGCGGGCAGTGGGCACATGGAGGATCTAGAGGAGCTCATGTATGAGCCTGTGGATCACCGTCTGGGCCCCGGTGAATCGGACAACTACAATGTTGTGGCTGCGCTAGATCTCGGGGACCCGTCCCGGCAGCACGAGATGCGGTGCAGGTGGGTGGGGTTGGGTGCGCTGTCGGGTCACTGGGGCTTCTCTTGTAGTGTTTTGTTTTGGCTGGACCTGCGCTGACCATATTGACCACATTGACCAATCTCAGTCGCTCGCTAGCATTCATTGCATCATCTTCTCGCTATCCACGCCAACCATCCCTTGTACTTCCACGTTCCTGCAAACCCCCACCCACCCCTCCCGTGCCTCACCAGTCACACACCAATATCAACATCTTCCCATTTGCAAGCCATCTTCTGAGTCGACTCAAAGTTCACCCTTCCCCTTCCCCCCCACGCGCCCCTCCCTATGCCCCACCAGATACACGGACTTCTACGTCTTCCCATTCGCAAGCCTGGGGTGGGCGCTGGTGATCGTGACGGTGATGGCCCTGGTGGGGTACATGTGGTGGGCGGCGGGCGGGCACATGCAGCGCCTGGAGCGCGACTTCCTGCGCATGCAGCTGCTCAAGAACAAGATGAAGGCCGCGCGCAACGTCGCCGAGCGTGCGAGCGTGGCCAAGGGGACCTTCCTCGCGACCATGTCCCACGAGCTACGCACGCCCATGAACGGCGTGATCGGCATGCTCAACCTGCTGCTGGAGACGCCGCTCAGCATCACCCAGCTGGATTATGTCGAGACGGCGCATACTAGCGGCCGCGCGCTGCTGGAGCTTATCAACGACATCCTCGACCTCTCCAAGATTGAGGTGCGTGGTGGTTTGGTAGAGAGGAGAGGAGCGCTGCGTAAGATAGAGAGAGAGGGAAAAGGTGAGTGAGCCAGAAGCGCTCGCAGCCCCTCCTCTGTGATCTGAGCTGAGCTGAGCTCCTCCCACGAGTGGGCGTGCGCTGCTGGAGCTCAGTCAGCAACCACATCCTTGACCTCCTTGACCTCTCCAAGATCGACGTGCGCTGCTGTCCCTCCCGTCTGCTGCGCATGGTGAATGGAGGGGGGATAGGCTTCTGCTCTTGCTGCTCATACGTCTGATGCCCCTCCCTTCGCTTCTGCTCTTGCTGCTGATACGTCTGATGCCCCTCCCTTCGCTTCTGCTCTTGCTGCTGATACGTCTGATGCCCCTCCCTTCGCTTCTCTTCTTGCTGCTGATACGTCTGATGCCTCTCCCTTCGCTTCTGCTCTTGCTGCTGATACGTCTGATGCCCCTCCCTTCGCTTCTCTTCTTGCTGCTGATACGTCTGATGCCCCTCCCTTCGCTTCTGCTCTTGCTGCTGATACGTCTGATGCCCCTCCCTTCGCTTCTCTTCTTGCTGCTGATACGTCTGATGCCCCTCCCTTCGCTTCTGCTCTTGCTGCTGATACGTCTGATGCCCCTCCCTTCGCTTCTTCTCTTGCTGCTGATACGTCTGATGCCCCTCCCTTCGCTTCTCTTCTTGCTGCTGATACGTCTGATGCCTCTCCCTTCGCTTCTGCTCTTGCTGCTGATACGTCTGATGCCCCTCCCTTCGCTTCTCTTCTTGCTGCTGATACGTCTGATGCCCCTCTCTTCGCTTCTGCTCTTGCTTCTGATACGTCTGATGCCCCTCCCTTCGCTTCTCTTCTTGCTGCTGATACGTCTGATGCCCCTCCCTTCGCTTCTGCTCTTGCTGCTGATACGTCTGATGCCCCTCCCTTCGCTTCTGCTCTTGCTGCTGATATGTCTGATGCCCCTCCCTTCGCTTCTCTTCTTGCTGCTGATACGTCTGATGCCTCTCCCTTCGCTTCTGCTCTTGCTGCTGATACGTCTGATGCCCCTCCCTTCGCTTCTCTTCTTGCTGCTGATACGTCTGATGCCCCTCCCTTCGCTTCTGCTCTTGCTGCTGATACGTCTGATGCCCCTCCCTTCGCTTCTCTTCTTGCTGCTGATACGTCTGATGCCCCTCCCTTCGCTTCTCTTCTTGCTGCTGATACGTCTGATGCCCCTCCCTTCGCTTCTGCTCTTGCTGCTGATACGTCTGATGCCCCTCCCTTCGCTTCTCTTCTTGCTGCTGATACGTCTGATGCCCCTCCCTTCGCTTCTCTTCTTGCTGCTGATACGTCTGATGCCCCTCCCTTCGCTTCTCTTCTTGCTGCTGATACGTCTGATGCCCCTCCCTTCGCTTCTCTTCTTGCTGCTGATACGTCTGATGCCCCTCCCTTCGCTTCTCTTCTTGCTGCTGATACGTCTGATGCCCCTCCCTTCGCTTCTGCTCTTGCTGCTGATACGTCTGATGCCCCTCCCTTCGCTTCTCTTCTTGCTGCTGATACGTCTGATGCCCCTCCCTTCGCTTCTCTTCTTGCTGCTGATACGTCTGATGCCCCTCCCTTCGCTTCTCTTCTTGCTGCTGATACGTCTGATGCCCCTCCCTTCGCTTCTCTTCTTGCTGCTGATACGTCTGATGCCCCTCCCTTCGCTTCTGCTCTTGCTGCTGATACGTCTGATGCCCCTCCCTTCGCTTCTGTTCTTGCTGCTGATACGTCTGATGCCCCTCCCTTCGCTTCTCTTCTTGCTGCTGATACGTCTGATGCCCCTCCCTTCGCTTCTCTTCTTGCTGCTGATACGTCTGATGCCCCTCCCTTCGCTTCTCTTCTTGCTGCTGATACGTCTGGCCCACCGTCGCTTAGGCCCTTGAGGCCCTCACCATGTTCGTCGAGCGCTTCCCCATCTCACCGTCCCCTCCCTCCTCTCACACCTCTCCCACCTCCCCTACCCACCCCCCACCCCCCTTCTCCCCTCCCAGGCGAACAAGATGCCACTGGAGAGCGTGGCCATGGACGTGCGGGCGCAGGTGGACACGGTGCTCACCATGTTCGTGGAGCGCTTCCGCGCCAAGCCCCTGCTCGAGGTCGCTGCTTACATCGACCCCTGGGTGCCGCAAGCCGTGCTCGGGGACTCGCTGCGCTTGCGCCAGGTGCGCAAGGGCGGGGTGGGGTGGGGAGGAATGTGGGTGTGCGTGTGGGTGTGGGCGTGTGCGTGTGCGTGGAGTTCAGTGAAAGCACGCGTGGTACAGCTATGCGAGGAACGATGAGTCGCTACTTATCCAAAATGCTTTCCATGTGCCTCTCACCATCATTCGCCCCCATCCTTCCCCATCTCCGCCCCCTGACCATCCTCACCAACTGTATGTGCCTCATCACCACTTCTCATCTCTCATCCCCCCCTGCCTCCTCTCCACCCGTCTCTCCACCCACCCTCCCCTCGCCTCCCCTTCCGTCCCTTCCCCTCCCTCCCCCCACTCCTTTCCCCTGCCCTTTGTGCCGCGCAGGTGTTGGTGAACCTGCTATCCAACGCGTTCAAGTCTCAAAAGCCCTCACCATCTCCTTCCCCTTCCCCCCATCCTCCCCATCCTCCCCTCCCTCCCTCCCTCCCTGTACCCCCATCGCGTGCCACGCTACTGCAGGTGCTGGTGAACCTATCCAACGCGTTCAAGTTCTCAAAACTCCTTCCTCCCTACTCCTTCCCCCCTCCCCCCCCCTCGCCCCCTCCGCCCTCCGCCCATCGTGCCACGCTACTGCAGGTGCTGGTGAACCTGCTATCCAACGCGTTCAAGTTCACAGAGAGGGGCCACATCTTCATAGCCGTGCGCACCGCCCTGCCCTCCGAGGACCTCAAGCGGAGCTTCCGCACGCGCCACCCCTCGCACTCGCACTCCCACGCGCGCACACACGGACACAGGCAGGGGCAGGGGGACGACGGAGAGGGTGGGAGGGGCGGCGTGAGCATAGGCGAGAGGGTGGGCGTGACTGGGCGCAGCAGCTGGACGAGCCAGGGGAGCATGGGCGGTTGCAGCAGCAGAGGGGGTGGGAGCAGGGAGGCGCAGTGGGCGACGCTGAGTGGGTTGGAGGCGGTGCGGAGCTGCAACAGCTGGGACGTGCTGGCAGGCCGGCGCCAGCGGTGGAGGGAGGGAGGGGCGGAGGGGGAGTGCGGGGTGGGTGAGGAGGGGACGGGGGAGGAGCGGCAGGGGGCGAAGGGAGAGGAGGAGGGTGCGGCGAAGGAGTGCGTGATTGATGTGGGTGGTGATGGTGCTGCCGCTGCTGCCACTGCTGGTGCTGCTGCTGGTGGTGGTGGTGGTGCAGGGAGTGGCGATGGCGAGCCTGTGTTGAGCGGGCCGACTGTGCGACTCGTGATCACCGTCGAGGTCAGTGCTGGGGGTCAGGGGTGGGGTTGGGGTGCGCAGGGCATTGGGGGGGAGGTGGGTGCGGTGTGGAGCGGAGGGTGGGGCCTGGGTGGAAGGAGGGAAGTCTCTGTCTAGATTGTACTCTTCACGCACATGCCCTGCACGCAAGTCAACCCCTCTCTCTCACCTCCCCTCCCCCCTCTCTCCCCCCCCCACTCCCTTTCCCCCACAGGACACGTACGAGGGCATTCCCAAGGCAGCGCAGAAGTCAATCCTAAAGCCGTTCACGCAGGCGGACGCAGCAAGCCCCTCTTTCATCTCGCCCCTCTCCCACTTTCCCCATCCCACGACAGGACACGGGCGAGGGCATTCCCAAGGCGGCACAGAAGTCCATCCTGAAGCCGTTCACGCAGGCGGACGCGAGCACGACGCGCACGCACGGCGGCACGGGCATCGGGCTGTCCATCTCGCGGCACCTCGTGGCGCTCATGGGCGGCAAGCTCGCCTTCTCCTCTCGCCCCGGCGTCGGCACCACTTTCTATTTCGACATCCTCGTGCCACTCGCGGTCGATGACACTCAGCAGCAGCAGCTGCAGCAGCCACAGCAGGGTGGGCAGCCCGTGGGTGTCATGGGTCCCCCCATGGGTCCCATGGGTGCGCATGGTGCACGGCCTGCTTCTGCTGGTGCGCAGCATGGGGCGCCAGGAATGGCATCACCATCATCATCATCAGCAGCAGGTGCACAGGAGGCAATGCTCTCCCTCGCAGCTCAACCGCGGCGCCTTCCACAGCGCCACACCTCCTCCCCGACGCACCACCTCTCTCTTCTCCCCGTGGGAGACGCCCTGGCATCCCCACGCCTCTTATCCCCTTGCCCCGCGCGCGTCTCCACCTCTCTGAACACCTCTCCACGCCTGCTGCCCCCCTCGTCTACCTCTCCCTGCAAGCCCTCCAGTGCGCGCCATAATCGAAACCCCTCCCTGCAGCTGCTGAAGGCGCCACTGAAGGAGCTGCACGGCATGCAGGCAGCACAGTTGCGCTTGCTGCAGTCCACGCCCGTGCACAGACTCACCGCGTCGCCCATACACATGGTGCCCATGTCCCCTCTGCCTCTCCTCCAGCACGCCGAGGCTAGCTTGACTCACTTTGACGCTCTGCTGCTTGACGACAAGCCCGTGAGGTTCGGCATCACGGAGAGCCTGCTCGGCAGGCTCGGTATCCCGGTTCGGAACACGCCTCTGCCTCGGGACCTCCAGTCTCTGTTCTCGAGTGCGAGCAGCACGCATGCAGCTGTATCACAGCTTCAGGGTTTACGGCCGGTGATAGTGGTGGTGGAAGGGGAGTGGCTGGAGCGACTGAAGGAGGCACGGAAGGCAGGTGAGGAGGGCGGCACGAGCGGGGATGAGGACTCGGGAGGAAGAGATTCGCCTTGCACGCCCCGCATGGGGGTGCCTCTGCAGCAGCAGCGGCAGCGTGAGAGAAGAGAGGGCGGGGGTGGCAGCAGCAGAGGAGTGCTGTCGTGGCAGCAGGTGGCGGCGAGGCTGTTTCACGAGTCAGCTCTCTCCCCTGCTGCTTCCCACGGCACCTACATGCAGCAGCAGCAGCAGCAGCCCCACCAGCAACAGTCACCGTGGTTCGCGTCAGTGCTTTTGGAATGTGGTGCGATGGGGGAGAGCAGCAACGGTGCAGACGGGGGCAGGGCGGGGAGCAGAGCAGCGGCGGCGGAGGAAGGCGGAGCGCCATTCCACGGCACGGTGTGCAAGCCCGTGCGCTTCTCTGCGCTCTCCGCTTGCCTCTCCCAGCTGCTGCTGGGGGCGACGGCGAACCAGGACAGTGGCGAGGAAGAGGGGGACGAGGCCGCGGAGGAGGAGGGTACGGGGTTTGTGGTGAGCTGGCAAGGGGGTAAAGCAGGGAATAGTGGCTGTGCTGGTGCTGGTGATGGTGATGATGATGATGGTGATGGATGCAGCAAGGGGCGGCGATCTGAGGGTGACTCTGGTGGGGTTCAAGTGAACAGGGAACAGGGCAAGGGTCGGGAAGCAGGGAGTTTGAGGCAGGGGAGTGAAGGAGGCGCGAGTGGGTTGAGTGGCAAGCAGGCAGTGGGAGGCAGTGCGGCGGGCAGGGGCGGTGTGCAGGTGAAGAAGGGGAAGCAGAGCAAGACGGCGCAGCTGCTGTGTGAGAAGCTGGGTGGACGACGCTTCCTCGTGGTGAGCTGCACACCCGCACACCCTCCACACCACCCACACAAACCCACACACAATCGTTCCATTCCTGTTCAGCTCGACCTTCTCGTCCCTCCTTCTCGCACTCTCCTCGCACTCTCCCCCTTCTATCCCCTCCCTCCCCCCTCTCCCAACAAACCCCCTCCCCTCCCTTCCTGCTGCCTCTCCCAGGTAAACGAAAACATGATGAACCGCAAGGTGATGCCCAGGATGCGGCATCTGGGAAGCCCACATGTCCTTTTTTGCTCTCCCTTTCCCACCCACCTTCATACCCTCCCCCATTCCTCCCCACTCCTCTCCTCCCCCCCCCCCATTTCACCGCCTCCCCTACCCCCCAGGTGGATGACAACATGGTGAACCGCAAGGTAATGTCCAAGATGCTGCAGCGCAGCACTTCATCTACCTGCCTCCCGCTCGCTGCATGCCACATATTCCCCTTACACTGCACGCCTCCCCTCCCCCATCCCCCCAGGTGGATGACAACATGGTGAACCGCAAGGTGATGTCCAAGATGCTCGAGCGCTACCATGTGCACGTGGAGGCCCATATGACCCTTTTTGCCCGCCCTTCTCCCCGTTCACCTCTCGTCCATCTCTCCCCTCTCATTTCTCTCCCCTGCCTCCCCCCAGGTGGACGACAACATGGTGAACCGCAAGGTGATGTCCAAGATGCTCGAGCGCTATGACGTGCACGTGGAGGCTGTGGATGGGGGCGCCAAGGCCATCGCTGCCGTTGCGCGCACCGATGCTGCCGCTACTCCGTACGACTGTGTCTTCATGGACTTGCAGGTGAGAGCACTGTCTGCTGGCATGCATGCTCCCGCGTGCATGCCCATTGTGGTGCTCGTTTGACACGTGTCAGGAACACGCCTGTAGCTGCTGTGCCGTGCGATGGGTTCTTGGCTTGTTCTTCGGCTTGTTCCGTGGCTTCTGTTCGTCCGATGACCGATTGTGGTCTACTTGATTCCTGCGTTGCTCGTCCCTTCCATGCCCCTCCCTCCGTGCATTTGTTCATACCTTTGTTCCGCCCGTCTCTCTCTGGTGTGCATCGCTGTTTTGCTCTATTTACCGTTCAGATGCCGGGAATGGATGGGCTTGAGGCCACAGGGCTCATACGCAAGTATGAAGCAGAGCAGCAAGCCAAGGAGGCTAATCCACAGCAGGACGCAGCAGCCGCAGGCGCAAAGCGGCGGCTGCTGGTGATCGCATTGACTGCAGATGTGGGTGCAGGGACCAAAGAGAAGTGTGTTGGTGCAGGAATGGATGGGTACATGACCAAGCCTATTGAGGAGGACCAGTTGTCGCGTACTCTATTGCCATTCTTTGATGGTTGAAATGATTTGTTTGTGTGATTTGAGCTGATTTGATACGATGTGTAATTTGATTTGTAGTGTTGCCTTTTGTTACAATCCTAAACAGGACTTAGCCAGGCTCAGGGTTGATCGCAGGTGGTTTGTTGCAACGGAAGTGGTGACCTCGGGTCAGAGTGAATGTAAATGATTGAGATAATTATAATAGTACAGAGGAATAACTGACTGAAACGACCTAGGCTAGCCATGTACTCTAAAAGTACATTCTCATATCGACACAAATGTCCCAATGCCTGATTTCCCGAGTCGCGTCTACACATTTGCCCAACCTCGCGTCTCAAAATGTAAATGTACCGCGACACTGTCACACTGGGCGACCTCGCGACGTGTAGAGTTGTTAGCGTTGTCAAATTACATTTCTATGACTGTAGGCTGTAATGGGGTAGCTTACATAGAGTACAACCCTTTTAGGGTTTCACTACTTGTACTTGTCATTGTCAAAATGTTATTTGCTGTCTAGGCTGTAGTGGGGTACTCAACAGAGAGTACAACCCTTTTAGGGTTTCCTATATGTACTCCACCTGCCTGCTAGTACAATCCTCTTCTTCCGTTCCTTCTTAGCTTCTCCTTTCAACATGCTATCAGAGCAGGTCGACCCTGTCTGGTCGATCCTGTTGGGCCCACCAATCGCTTCCGCTGTCTTCCTGCCAGTCGCCCGCCCTGGGAGCGTGGCGAGTTCCTGCCTGCCGCGTTCCCCGGGCGCGCGACGTTTTCTGCCCGCCGCGCGCCCGGGGTGCTCGGCGGATTCCTGCACGTCACGCGCCCCGGGCGCGCGACAGAACCTGCTCGTCGCGCGCCCCTGGTGCGCGACGGATCCTGCCCGTCGCACGCCCCGGGCGCGCGTCGGTTTCCTGCCCGACGCGCGCCCCGAGCGTGCGGCGGTTTTCAGCCCGCGCACTGCCCCTGCAGCCCGCGAGCCGCCCATGGAGCCCGCGAGCCGCCCCTGCAGCCCGCGCGCCTGCCCCTTGCAGCCCGCGCACTGCCCCTGCAGCCCGCGAGCCGCCCCTGCAGCCTGCGCGCTGCCCCTGCAGCCCGCAAGCCGCCTCTGCAGCTCGCGCGCCTGCTCCTGCAGCCGCGGGGCAGCTCCTACCCCGCCCCCCCCCTTCTCCTTCATCTCCCTTCTGCGCGTGCAGCTGTGGGGGGGAGGGTATGGGGGTGGCGGGCGTGAGTGATCAGCTGCCGCTCCTCCTCCTCTCTCTCCCACTGCTGCAGCTGCCGCTGAGGGGGGGGAGGGTGTGGGGGAGACGAGGGAGTGGCGCTAAGGATGCCGAGGGGTGTGAAAGGGGGTTTGGGACAATGCGAGGAGGTTGAAGGCGGGTGGCCGCCGTGAAGTCCGCAGCTCCAGTCGCCCGTGAGATCATTGCGCAGTGGCCCGTGAGTCGGTTGCTCTTGCCGGCGAGCAGAGCCAGTTACTCCAGTTGCCCGTGTGCCACTTGCTCCAGTTGACCGTAGGTCAGTTGCCCTTGCCGGCGAGCAGAGCCAGTTACTCCGGTTTGCGCCGTGTGCCAGCAGCTTCCGGGGCCGCCCACCTCCTCCTCTCCTCTCATGGTCCCTCCTCCTCCTCACTTGCCCTCTGTTTCTGCCACTAGCCTTTGCCTGTGAACTGGTCCTGCGACTGTTTGTTGTATTGGCTATCCCCCACTTCGCCTATGGGGGTGTGTCAAAATGTTATTTGCTGTGTAGGCTGTAGTGGGGTACTCAATAGAGAGTACAACCCTTTTAGGGTTTCCTATATGTACTCCACCTGCCTGCTAGTACAATCCTCTTCTTCCGTGCCTGTCTCCTTTCAACAGTCATTCCTTCTACTGAACTCATTTTCCTCCACAGTGATTCTAACATGGTATTCAGAGCAGGAAACCTGTTAGGTTTTTAGGGCCCACCGATCGTTCCGCTAGTTCCTCCCCGAAGCGCCCTTGCGCTGTCCGGCCCTCTCGCACAGTGTCACGCTGCCCTGCAGCTACTCGCACTGCCTGCCCTAGTGCGCTGCCCTGCTGTCACGCGCGCCCCTGCTGCCCGCGAGCAGCCCCTGCTCCACGCACCCCTGCTGCCCGCGTGCAGCCTCTGCCCCGCGCGCCACTGTTGCCCGCGAGCAGCCCCTGCCTCGAGCGCCACTGCTGCCCGCGAGCAGCCCCTGCCTCGAGCGCCACTGCTGCCCGCGAGCAGCCCCTGCCTCGAGCGCCACTGCTGCCCGCGAGCAGCCCCTGCCTCGAGCGCCACTGCTGCCCGCGAGCAGCCCCTGCCTCGAGCGCCACTGCTGCCCGCGAGCAGCCCCTGCCTCGAGCGCCACTGCTGCCCGCAAGCAGCCCCTGCCCCGAGCGCCCCTGCTGCCCGTGAGCAGCCCCTGCCCTGCGCGTCGCACCCTGCTGCAGCCCGCGCGTCGCGCTCTGCTGCTCCGAGCGTCGCGCCCTGCTGCAGCCCGCGCGTCGCGCCCTGCTGCCCTGCGCCTCGCGCTCTGCTGCCCGCGCATCGCGCTCTGCTGCAGCCCGCGCGTCGCGCCCTGCTGCCCTGCATAGCGCGCGCCCTGCTGCCCGCGCCGCCCAGGCCGAGCCGCGCCGCCCAGCCCGAGCCGCCCTGCCCAACCCGAGCCGCCCTGCTGCTACTACTGCTGCTACTGCTGCTCGTTCTACTGCTGCTGCTGGTGGAGGTGCTGCTGGGAGTGCTGGAGGTGCCGCCGCCCAGCCCCACCGAGCCGCCCTGCTGCTACTACTGCTGCTGCTGCTGCTCGTGCTACTGCTGCTGCTGGTGGAGGTGCTGCTGGGAGTGCTGGAGGTGCTGCTGGTGCTGGAGGTGCTGGAGGTGCGGCTGGGAGTACTGGAGGTGCTGCTGGTGCTGGAGGTGCTGGACCTACTACTGACCGTCACAACCTGTCATGGCCACTATCGCGGCAGTTGCAGCGGCTAGGGGTGGACAGCAGCGGTCCCTGCCTCTCCCTGACGACCCCACCCCTCAGCAGCTTCGTGAGTGGGTTTTTCAGCGAGGCCGTCCTGGTGGTGGAGATTTTGGTTTTATGTGGCCTCAGCGACCTCGCGACTGTGCTTCTCAGCGATGCGTCCCTGGTCGTGTAGAGGCTGCTGCTCTCGGTTCTAGTGAGTCTGCTGCCGCTCCAGGTGCTGGTGAGTCTGCTGCAGCTCTAGGTGCTCGTGAGTCTGCCGACGCTCTAGGTGCTAGTGCGTCTACTGCCACAGGTCCTGCCTCAGCTGAGGCCTTGCACACATTCACGCTTGACTCAGGAGCGTCACGTTGCTTCTTTCGTGATTGCACCACAGCCACACCACTCGCAGCACCTGTCCCAGTCTCACTGGCTGACCCCACTGGGGGCCCAGTAGTTGCGCGAGCCTCCACTGTCCTCCCGTGTCCGACAGTCCCCTCCGGTTCTCTGGCAGGTCTCCACCTCCCCACGTTCTCGACGAACTTGGTGAGCAACGCTGCCATTCAGGATGTCTGGGTTGATACCTTTATTCATGGAGGGCAGCGTGTGGCGATCTGTACGTGCTCCCGGACTGGCCGTCACCTAGCTACGTTCACTCGACGACCTGGGTCTAGTCTGTACACACTGACCACTGCGTCTGCACAGGTGGCTGAGTCAGGTCAGGTGGCTGCGTCGAGTCGGGTGTCTACGTCGGGTCAGCTTGCAGCGTCTTGCTCGTATCGGGTACTCTCCCACTAGAATCTCCTCTGGCACCACCGCCTCGGTCACCCCTCACTGCCGCGTCTCCGCAGCATGCACTCCCGTCTCCTTGTCTCTGGCCTTCCCAGGTCCCTGACCTCCCTCCCGCGCTCGCCTGCACTGCCGTGCCTTCCCTGCGTCGAGGGGCGGCAGCGCGCCGCTCCTCACTCCTCCGAGTTTCCTCCGACCACTGCTCCTCTACAGACTCTCCACATGGACGTGTGGGGCCCGGCCCCCGTCGGTGGAACGGACCAGGAGCGCTACTTCCTGCTGGTTGTTGACGACTACACACGCTACACCACTGCCTTCCCCTTGCGACGCAAGGCGGACGTCAGCGGTGTTTTGATCCCCTGGATCCGTGCTACTCGTCGCCAGCTGCGCGAGCGGTTTCGTCGGGACTTGCCACACCTGCGTCTGCACTCTGACGGGGGCGGTGAGTTCTCTTCCGGCCTCCTTGAGGAGTTCTGTCGAGACGAGGGCATCCGCCAGACGTTCACGCTTCCGGCCTCTCCTCAGCAGAATGGGATTGCTGAGCATCGCATTGGCTTGATCATGGAGGTTGCTCGTACCTCCATGATCCATGCGGCTGCTCCCCATTTTCTGTGGCCGTTTGCGGTCCGATACGCTGCGCATCAGCTCGACCTCTGGCCCCGTGTCTCTGAGCCAGAGACCTCGCCCACACTCCGGTGGACGGGGAAGGTTGGCGATGCGTCGGTGTTTCGGGTCTGGGGCGCGCTCTCCCTTGTTCGCGATGCCAAAGCGAGCAAGTTCTCCTCTCGCACTCTCCGCTGCGTCTTCCTTGGCTTCCCCACCGACGCCCCGCCATGGCAGTTCTACCACCCGCGCTCGCGTCGAGTCTTCTCCTCCCACGACGTCACCTTTGACGAGTCTGTCTGTTTCTACATACTACACCCGCACGCGTCCCACCCGGTCCCCCTCGCGCCTCTCTTCCTGGTACCACTCCCCCCCCCGCAGGTGTGTCTCAGGTAGACCCACCCCCCTTGGTTGAGCCTCTGGAGATCTCTTCTGATTCCTCTGGCCCAGCTGAGGGGGGTGACCCCGTCGCTGACGACACGGCGGCCACTCGCCGCTCTCCACGCTTAGAGACCCCCCCTGGTTTTCCGCCTCGGCCGTCTTCGCCGCCTCCGCAACCTGCTGTTGTGGACTCTGGAGCTGAGACTGCTGGTGCTGAGCCTGGAGGTGCTGAGACAGAGGGTGATGGTTCTGGGGGTGCTGCGACTGGGGGTGCTGGTTCCGGGGGTGCTGCAACTAGGGGTGCTGACTCTGGGGGTGTTGC